CACACACACACACACACACACACACACACACACACACACACACACACACACACACAAAGTCCGACGAAACAGTCTCCACAATCATGCTTTTTTTTGGTGGAGGTGTGTATAGCGAACATGACAACACACACATACAGACACAAACACAGAAGAAGACGAACCTTCGAGAGTGAAGTCTTCGCCCGGCAGTTTCTCCTTCTTCCCAAATCCGACCATGTTCTTCATTCGTTGGAGCCATGAAAGGCCGCCGCCACCACTTTCGGACTGGCCATCCGACTCAGGGCTCGCAAGAGAAGAGGAAGCAGACAAAGAAGATGAGGAAAACAAAGAACGACTGTGGTTGAGATACCCCGCTTGCCAAGACGGGAACGCGATAGGGATCCCGACACGGACGGCAGGTTCACCACCAGCCACGGCACACCCGGTGGCAGACCTGCTGCACCTCCAAAGTGACGCCGCTTCTCTGCGGCCGCCATAGCCAAGAGCTTGGCGGCCATGGCCAGAAGCATCGACTGCCTGACGATCACCTACGTGAATATCTGCGCCCGCTCCCAGCCATGAGTGTTGTTCGAATGACACGTGTCGCGATCCCGATCCGGATGCGCATTGGCGGGCAACGCTGATCCCGACCCTCGGACCAGGCAACTCCGTCGCTGCCTCTTGCGCTGTCCCACACTCGACGCCGCCATTGACGACAACAGAAACCGAACCCGGCACCGAAGCTGAGACCTGGGTTGGCAAGAATTCTGCAGGTGGTACTAGGTCCGGTACCAGGCCCGGTACCAGCCCCGGCACCAGGCCTGGTACTAGGTCCGGTACCAGGCCCGGGCTCGGAGGAGGCTGGCGCAACTCACGCCTACATTTTGTAAGCGCCCCGTCGGCCGCAGCGTATCGCCTGACCACCCGGACGGCGCGCATTTCCCCCAAAGACGCTCTACAGAGCTGTCCTTGTGCCCTGCGCCCCAAAGACGCTCTACAGAGCTGTCCTTGTGCAGGGCCCGAGCCAAATCGATCGAAGGTCACGTTTCCTCAATGTCCTGCCTGGCACATAGGATTTTCGACGAAGCTGTAGGAGGGAAGACGACCCAGTTCTTGTCATAAGGAAAGTTCAAGCCATTCACAATCACAACCTCAGTCCTTACAAGGACAGACTGACTATGATGAAGATTAGTACATTGAGCGAAACCAGGTTTTACTCTCCAAGAAAGGAGGCAAAAGGAAAGTCCCTAACTGGAGACCAATGTCCCTTCTGAACGTGTCCTACACTTGTCCTACAAGATCCTTGCCAAGGCTCTGGCAAGAAGACTGGCCACGAGTCGGACGGGAGCTGGTGCAGGCTGTGGCATACTGCGCATCCACACGGGACTGCAGAGCCCGACCAGACGAAAAATAAGGGCCCTCCAGGCCCTGTGTCGTATCAGCCGGAAAGCCTGAAAAGGAGGGCCATTTTCAGGCCCTCATAAAGTCGACCTGCCCTGAAACTTAGGCACCAGAGCAGGGTTTTTTAGGGCCTGTTTCAAGACAACCTTTGTTTGAACTTCAACGCCAGTTTAGCTTGAGCAAAGCTCGATAACCACTCAACTGCTCAACGTATACCAACTGCTGGAAACCAGGGTCTGGCACGTTTTGGCATTGGCAAGAGCAGCCTCCAGGCCGGACCAGCACTACATAGTACTGGTCCGCCCTGCAGGCTGCAGACAGTTCTTGGGCACTCCACGTGCAGTGCAGGAGGCAGCTTTCAGGATGCGGCGGCAACACTCTGCAAGAGCGCTGTAGTAGTAGTAGTAGCGCTAGGAGTAGTCTTCAGCGCTGGGCGCTGTTAGGAGCTTAGAGTAGCGTTGGAGAGAGAGAGAGTGGCGGAGGCCAGGGAGACTTACCTATGGCGCCATAGCTCCAGCTTCGTCGTCGATGTACCTGCAACAAGGTGCCACCTTCACAGGTTAGTACTTGGTACAAGAGAGAGAGAGAGAGTTCTTCTTCTTCCTCCTCTAAGTCCACCATCTCTCCCTCCCCCTCTCCCTACCTGACTTCTCAGCACCTGCAGACTACGAGCGAGAGAGAGAGAGAGAGAGAGAGAGAGAGAGAGAGAGAGAGAGAGAGAGAGAGAGAGAGAGAGATTTACGACTTTGAGACTTGACGACAGTTGGATTCAGACTCGACATTGGGATCGAGACATTGGATAAGGGATTATTCGGGACCTATATCGAAGACTTGGTGTTGACGACATTCCCATCTCCCCCCTCCCGTCGTCTGATCCCCCTCCTCCTCGTCTGGGTATGATTCGGGACTGGCGCATTCTTCCTGTGTGAGCGTCAGGCCCCTTCACACTATGCGATGATGATGATGTATGTTTGGTCTGCATTGCAACATTGATTGGTCTGATCATTGGTATTATAGCCTTTCGTTGCCCTATCCTGTACTATGTGAGAGAGGTCGGTTCTTGTTCTGGTCTATACCGTTATGGTATGCAACAGTTTAGTATCGGCGCGGACCTCTCAATCAGAGGATCCGCCCAATCAAGGAGCCAACTTGCTTGATCGACTGATTGTTGAATGATTGATTGATTGATTGTTTATTAGTGAAACAAGTACGGCTTCATCAAATCTCTGCAAAAAAATAAAATAAAAAAATTGGAACTTCATATATTAGCATTTTGTTTTTTTTCTCACTCTGGGCATATTAGGTGAAGTAGGGAGGATCCGCCCAATCAAGGAGCCAACTTGCTTGATCGATTGATTGTTGAATGATTGATTGATTGATTGTTTATTAGTGAAACAAGTACGGCTTCGTCAAATCTCTGCAAAAAAAAAAAAAAAAAAACGGAACTTCAGATATTAGCATTTTGTTTTTTTTCTCACTCTGGGCATATTACGTGAACTAGGGAGGTTGTCATATTCTCGGACTGGATCTATTCTTCTCTAAAAGTGGAACCTCCATTCTATTTCGCGTGCAAAAAAAAAAATCAAGATCGCATTTTTTTGAAAGTCGAAACTTTGCGAAACCTTGCCTAGATCTCGCTCATAGTACTCCTCCAAAAACGCGTCACTGATAGCAGATCGACAGATATTCAAAAAAAAAGGAAAAAACTACGGCGTAGTCAGGGTTTAAGTTTGTAATTGCACTTGAGGCAAAAGGGTCGGTAATGCTGAATGTATATGACCTACGTTTCTGGTCCGGTGGCGTCGTGTGGGGGTGTGTTGTATTCGCGGGATTGTCTGAAGTGCAATTACGAACTGTTTTCGTGACTGCGTCGAAGTTACCCCCCCCCCCCCAAAAAAAAGGGGGGTGATCCTCTCCTTTTTTTTTTYTTTTTTTTTWTTCTGTTGATTAGGACCGGGAATGGAAAGTGCAGTTTGGTTACCTTCCTGCGTTTTCCTCCCACCCAGCCCCTTGCCTGCATTCCCGATTTGGTAAGTGCCACGTCGGCAGCAGTACCATCGTCAGCAGTGCCCCGCCACCATGACGGTTTCAGCTTTGGGCATGTCAGGCCAACTTGAACTGGCCAACGAGTCTATTACCGAGTACCAACAACGGTCGAAGCTCAACTCGCACTGATTGAGGCTGAGGAACAGCGCCAGGCGGCAGCCGAGGCTGCCCGCCAACAGGCTGAAGCAGCGGGCAGCAGCTGAAAAGCAGTTGCTTCAGGCCATAGCTAGCGCAGATGACCAGGTCCGCCGCAAGGAGGCCCAGGATCTGTTGCAGCGGCACGAAGCTGCCAGCGTCGACAGGTTCAAGTTTTGGCATTTTGAACCATCCGAGGACAACGACGACACGACATAGGAAGAGCAGCACAAGGAGTTTCTCTCCAAACTTGTAACCGGGTTGGTTTACACTTGTAACCACCTGCAGTTCGAGTTTGTGAATCTCCAACGGGCAGTGCGGAACCACAAGGATCTGCACGGGGATGCTACACGGGCACTTCATTCCCGTGTACAGGACTTGAAGCAACCAGCACCAAGACCAGATGCTGGCGAACCCAGCAGTGTAGCCTCAACCCGCCAGTTGGAGCAACGAGTTGACCATGTAGTCGCAATGCTCGGCAACATCAACACCTTTGCCACACCAGCCACCTTCAGCGAGCAGCTCAACACCTTGAAGACCGAGGTTCGGCAACTACACCAGTCACCCGACAACGATGGCAGCACCAGTGCATTGCGGCTGTACAAGATGCCGACGTTCCGGATCGAGAAGTTTGATGACTATACGCATCAGGACCCAGTCGTCTGGTGGTAAGGCTTTACAATGGAGATTGGGATTCACGAGGTCCCCAATTACTTGTACATTTCGGTGTTGTTCCTCAACGCCAAGGGTGAATGCCAGATCTGGCTCAGCCACATGGCAACCATCCACGGCGTCGAGGTCTCCGACCTGCACAAGAAGATCTACTGGGACGAGATGACGAAAGAATGGAAGAAGCAGTTTATTGTGGATGACGGCCCGACGCTCGCCATCAAACACCTTTTCGCCATGACTCAAGGCAACGCACCGACACGCGATTGGCTCACCGAATGGCAAAAGATCGTGGCAACACCCGATCTCGAGCAACCATTTTCGTATCTGCGTCGGGAGTTCTACAACCGGTCGTGTGCAGCCTTGAGCCTCACACTCGGTGATCCATAACAATATACGACCTTCGCCGAAACCATCGACAAGGCTCGTGAGATCATAAAGACCAACTGGGCTATTGCACACGAGAAGTCGGCGTGGTAGCCAGCCCATGTGGCGAAAGGAAAATCTTGTCCGCGTCTGCAGCAAGTCGTTGCAGTCCAACCGGACAACATTGTGGAAGATCCGACTGCCACCCCAGCATCACGTAAGGGAGATCAGGTAGCCGATATCCAGCCGCGAAGCAACAACAACTCCAGTGGAAAAGAGAAGGCGGGAACCGCATCACCGACCAGAAATGGACAGCCAGTACCATGGATCAAGTTCAACTTTACGGAGGCCGAACACAAGTACCGCAACCGATACGACTGTTGCTATTGGTGCAACAACACCAAGCACAAGACCTCCCAATGCCAAGATCAAGGCAAGGAGGATGTTCGACCTCGAATCAGTTCGGGAAACTAAGCTGCATGGGAGGTGAGGCGACTCCACCTCTCACTCCGCCAGATTCGACCGCCTTGCTAGCAGCCTCCTACACATTCGGGGAGAATGCGGATGTCGGGAGTCCTCGGTTCACTTACGAGGATTTTGCTATCCACTTTGTCCCATCCTTGGACCAGCCACTCCACGTGCAACAATCCACCGCATGCAAAGTTTCACCACCATCAGCAACCGATTCGGCAGCTTCGCCGCCAACTTTCAGCAGGGATTCAACGTCGTTGTCAAGACTTGAGAGACTCGACCATTGACGTTCGCGGATTTCCAATAGATACCCTTTCCCCCGATCGGTCGATTGCCGAAACCGCATTGCAACGTGCTCATGGCACACTTGCGACACTACTTGCACACTGCAGTACTAAATCCGTTGATGGACGTCGGAGTAGAGGTTGTTGACCTTCACGACTACGTTGCGAAGATCGACCATGAGTTCAAGACACAACGATACGACAACAATGACGGGTACTTGCTTCTCCACTCGCGAGGCAAAAACTTACTCTGCGTCCCAAGAGATCGTCGTCTTCGGACTCGCCTTCTCGGCGAGTACCACGACTCGTGACTCACCGACCATTTCGGAGTCAATCTGACTATTGCACGACTTCAGCAACGATTCTGGTGGCCAGACGTCATCACCGATGTCACTCGGTATTGCGACTCTTACGAAGTTTGTTCACGAAGCAAGCCCTGCGACCGCAATCCCTACGATGAGTTGCGCCCGTTGCCTATCCTGCGGGAACCCGACATCTCCATTACTATGAACGTCACTGACCCATTTCCCCGTGACCGCCTCGGGCTTGACGGCATCCTCACGGTCGTTGACCGATTGAGTAAATATGCACAATTTCTCCCTTGCAAATACTACG